ATTTTTGGACCATTGAGTATTAAAATTATAAATGTTGATATTGGTAAATGTTAATTAATTAAATGAAATTTATTGTTAAATTATTTTTTGAACTTACAGTGCTGTTGATGTTGACATTAAGAATAAACGAGTTTATTGGACTGATCTTAAATTAAAAACAATTAATAGAGTTTACTTAAATGGTTCGATGGCAGAAAGAATTATTACGTTTGGCTTACAATCCCCAGAAGGTAATATTTTGTTTACTTTAATATTTATTAATATTATAAATATTTTTAAACATAAAAAAAATTTAAATATAAGTATTATGATTGAAAGATTATGCAAAAAAAAAATTGTTTATGTTTTATAGGATTAGCTGTTGATTGGATTGGTGGTAACTTATATTGGTGTGATTCTGGCACTAAGCGAATTGAAGTGTCTAGATTAGATGGAACAATGCGTAAAGTTTTACTTTGGAATGATATTAAAAATCCAAAAAATTTATTACTTGATCCTAAAAAAGGGTTAGTTTTATAACATAGTTAATATATTTACCTGTTACATTTTATTTAATTCATGTGTTTTTTTATATTTATTAGATTTATGTATTGGAGTGAATTAGATGGCATTACTGGCTCAATTCATAAAGCATCCATGAATGGTGAAGGGAAACATTGTTTGATAAATAAGATTGGTAGAGTCATAAGTATTACTTCAGATTATGACAGTGGTTTGATTTATTGGACAACATTAACACCAAATAGTGGATCCATTGAAAGTATTGATTTTAATGGAAAACGTCAAAGTAAAATTGTGTCTATTCCTTTTGGTGGTTATCTTTCTGCCATAACGTATTTCAGGGTAATAAATAGTTACATAACTTCTGTAAAATAATAATTATTTTAGTCTAAATTATGGTACTAATTATTGAAAACAATTTAGGGTTCTTTATATTGGTTGGATTGGTTAAATGGAACTTATTTCCAAGTCGATATTCAAAGTGGCGTAATTTTAAAGCAGACTAAAATAAATTTAGATCATGTTACGGATTTGATAACATTTGATAAAGCAAGTCAAACCGGAACAAATCCATGTGCTATAAATAATGGAGGATGCCAACAGTTGTGTCTCGTAAAAGGATCAACAAAAGATCATGAACCATTATCATATCACTGTTCATGTGAAACACATTTCACATTATTTAAAAATAACACTTGCTCCGGTAAATATAATTTATTGAATAAATATTTACTTTTCACTGCTAAAATTGTATTTATAATTTTAGTTTATTTTTTTCAAACAAACTATTATTAATTTACAAATAAAAGAAAAATGTTGCTCAGATATTGTAATCAAATAAAGTTTAAAATATCAACTAAAATCTTACTCTTAACACTATTTAAAAACTAATTACTGTTATTCATTATTTAGCACCAAATAGTTTCTTGATTGTGGCACAGAAAACAACATTCTATAGAGTGGTGATGGATATAGATGATTCTTCTGATTCTTCACTCCCCGTCATAGGATTGAAACATGTAAAAGCTGTTGAATATGATCCAATATCGCACATGATTTATTGGGTAAAATTATTTATTATTATTTATTACCTAAAAACCTCAACTTCTCAACTTATAATATTAATAATTATATGTTTTTTAGATTGATGGTAGAACACAAATGATCAAACGTTGCCACGAGAATGGTTCAAATCCGAGTATGTTTATTGGAAACAATGATTATAAATACAATTTGTATGATCTTGCTTTGGATCCATATAACAGATTGTTGTTTTGGACTTGTACGGTAACAGATACTATAAACGTTACTCGTTTAACAAATAGCAGTTTCCAAGGATCTATATTTAAAAGCTTTGATGGAGAAAAACCAAGAAATTTGGCAATACATCCCGAAAAAGGGTAATTATTTATATTTTCTAGGTTATTGGTTTTCTAATTGGATAAATTGTTTTAAAATTCTAGTTATATTTATTGGACTGATTTGGGAAGTCAACACCGAGTAATAAGATCTCGTATTGATGGCCATAATAGAGTCATCATCGCTTCTGATTTGTTATCTCTTGAAGCACTTACTGTTGACAGGGTACAAAATATGGTTTATTTTTCCTATTCGAGTAAAGTAGATGTTTGTGATCTTCATGGTTATCAAAGGTAAACAAACAATAAATATTTGTTTATGTATTATGATATATAAATTTATTTGATTAGGTTATAAAAATTTAAGTATGCATAATATGCATTTTACACAAAATTATAAATTTTAAGTTTTTGAAATAAATAAATATGAAATGTAGGTTTGTTATTTTCTTGAACATTATTAAATATACAATTTATTTTGTAATATATATTTCAATAAACAATAACTTGTAACTAGTGTTATAACAAGTTAGAAGAGTGCAATGCGGTGAAGGAAAGGGTGTAGCATATTTTGATCAGGGCCTCAAAAATCTTAAAGCTGACACTAAAGAAATAGTAATATCTTGTCTAGTCTTATATTATTTCTACTTAACTTTTGTCTACATAATAATTAAATTGATTTTACAAATTTAATGTTTTGTTCAAACAAGGAATTCCTAAATTTTAGTTTATTTATGTTTATATAATCTCAGTACATGTTTTTTTTAATTATAAAGTTAATTTTGTTTTAATACAACATTGTTAATACTTAATACATAATTATTTGTTATTAATTTACAATTATTTTTTTGATTAATTTTAAATATATTCTATTTATTTTTCCTAACTTGTGTATACATTATTATAGAGCATTTAAGTGATCAAAATAATGTTCAATTTTAATTTATTATTTTAGAAAAACGTTGATTTCATTTGATGGTGCTCTAATCACTAATATAGCTGTTCTTGGACCATATTTGTATTGGATTGATAAAGAAAAACAAGCTATTGAAAGAGTTAATAAATCCACTGGTGTTGTTAGTGAAGGAAGCACTGTCATGAATCAAAATCCACATTTAGTAGATATAATTTCGATATACATCCCTACTCCTGAGGTAATATTTTTATTTTTATCTTTTCTATAATATAAGTATTCATCCGTATTTCACTAAAAAATAAAGTAAAGTTTATGCTGAACTAACATTTAAACTCTACATTTTATAATCTTAAGTTATTACTCCATATGCTCATAAATTTCCTTTAAAAACTGTCTATTAAATTATTAATTTTATGAAAGTAATTTTAATCAATATGTTTATTCTTCTGATCTATTTATCTGTCCTCTTACTCATTTTGTTAAATTATGTCTATTTATATTTTTAGATTTTAGCATCGCATCCATGTAGTGCAATGAACAAGCATGGTATGTGTTCACACTTGTGCATTGTTACTGGGAACAATGAGAGTACATCCAACAACCATCAATGCTCTTGTCCTCTAGGCCTGATAATGAATGACCGCCAATGTGTTAATGTACCGGTTTGTGGCCCCGAGCAATTCATATGCAATTCCGTGAATCCTGAATGTATGCCTCTGATATGGCGCTGTGATGGCCAAACAGACTGCCATGATGGTTCAGACGAAGTCAATTGTTTAGAATGCAATAAACATCATTTCAAATGTTTAGACGGCCATTGTATAGGTGTGTACATATTCAAAAATATCAATTCACCGCAAAGCAAAAATTTGTGTAAACATTTTAATATTTTTAATTGTTTCAGACAAAAACTGGGTGTGTGATGGTACTAAACAATGTTCCGATGGTTCAGATGAATCTCGGTGTTGTGAAGCTGGATTGCTTTCAAATGATAGGTTCCAATGTATTTCTAATGGTGCATGTATACCGGTTAAAGAAGTTTGTGATGGTTGGAAACATTGCATCGATGGATCTGATGAAACTTATTTGGCTTGCTCGTTGATTAGAAATGCGGGACACACCACAAGCCCCACAAGTGATAAATCATTCAAGGACACTTTGTTCTTCACAATAATTTTCTTTGTAACAGTATTCAGTTTGTTGTTGGTCATTATATATCGCTGTGCTAAAAGGTATGTTAAATAATATTTCTTTACTGTGTAAAAATATTGATTTATAAATTTCCCATTTCTTTTTTTTGTTTTCAGTGATCTAGACCATAGTCCAAGTCTGACTAGCAATAATATAGTTACGTACACTGCTATACCAATTCCCAGACAATATTCTTCAACATCTGCTTATACAGCAATGCAAAATGGAACACATATTGATTTGATCTCGCCATCAAATTGTAGCCCCCTGAATCCACCACCGAGTCCTACAACTACGCTAACAATGCAAACAAATGATTACATCAGAACAAATCAATATCTGCGATATGATGATCGTTATGAACCTCCTTGCCCCACATTGTGTTCACAAACTGATTTGCCCACTGATATTTATGATGATTCTGATTTTGCAATGCCCCTTGAACCTTGTCCCCCACCCCCTACTCCTCGCTCACATTCGCCATCATCAAGCACTTATTTTAGCCCAAACGCACCACCGCCATCACCTAATAGCTGTAAAAGGCTTTGTTGAATATTTATGTTTAATAATTGAATTTTATTATGATTGTGTATATCGTTGTTTTATTCATTGTTTGTAACAATTTTTAGAATACAATATTTTTGTTCTATTTATCATACATGGTATGATAAATAAAATTGATATCCTACTTAGGTTAAGTTTTTAAAATATTATTATAAGCGTTTTTAAATAATTAAGTTTATTTGTACATGTGTATTTATATTTTGTGACCTGAGCATTGCCATAACAACTAATAATAGTTATTTAAGATAGATTATTGAAGACTTATGGTATTTATGTACTTATACATTAGTTCTATCGAACACTATTTTACTACTTTTTTTATATATATATTTATATATATTGTCTGTTGAATCAACTATATTTTTTATATGTTTTTTCATAAAAAAAAAAAAAAAATTATTGTGACATAAATTCTCATTAAAATAAATGTATTTTTAGTAAAAACAACATATTTATTTTACATTTTTCAGAAGTATTATATTATGTGTTAAATATATATTATTTAATATTTATTACAGCAACAAACTATATATGTATAGTTAATAACTTGTATGATTTGAAAGCTCCGCAAGCTGAAAAAAAAAATTAAATGTATAGATTAAAATACAGTTTAAATCGTCCACCAATAATCACCACCTTATAATTAATCATAAGGGCTAGGATTTAAATGCAATAAAATATCATGATATTAATATCATATATGTCAAAAATATGAATTATATACACTGAAAAATCAAAAAAATCGTGGTTTGAAAATTAATAAAATAATATTCTTAACTATTTACGCTATTCAAATGTATTATACTAAACAACTACTTAGAGTTTAACATTTTCCAATCAGAACGATCTTTTGTTAGATCTTAATATGTTCTTATATAGGTATTTTTAAATAGCGTTCTTATAGTAAAATATATCATAAAAACATGCATTTTTCGAATTTTTTATAGTCAAAATATGCAATAATATACATTTTTTCCAAAATATGCAAAATAAAAACACCACAGTTTATCTCATCGTGAGCCATGAGGTGGTTCTTGGGTATTATTAACAAAAGCAATAATCAGAAATTGCAAAAAACACATTCTGTTGCATATAGATCTTAGCCCTATTTATAATAATGGATTATTTATGATTTCCACCATAAATATAATACATCATGTAATTTGATTTCAGAACGTTTAAAACGTTTTTAATCACGTTTTTGGGTTTTCCATTAAATAAAGGTTTCATAAAAAAAGGAAACACCATTCATCTTGATAAAAATTGTTCGTTACCTCACGCTCATCATCAATATCTTCGTCGTCTGATCCGTGTAGTGAAGCGCCTGGTGTGGTTGGTCGGCTACTCGATGGTGAAGGTGGTTCAGAATAAGGACGAGGATAGTTATATCGACGTCTTGATGCTTCAGTAATGCATAACATTTCTGTTTCTTCATCAAACATATCCGGGAACACTTGACACAATGCTTTCAACCTAGCTTGACGATAGTACTGAAAACCAATATAATTATAAACATCAAATGCCATCATAGGCTAAACCTTAATTGATATTTAATTTTCTATTACCAAATAATTGTAAATGTTTTGAAATGTTCACTTACAATTCCCAAATTACGCCAATCGAGCAAATCGCTTAGCCGTTCGGTACGGTTTCGCTGGATCACCCGTTGTCTACGACTCATTCTCGCAAAATCGTACATATATTGCGCCAGTTGTCTGACAGATTCTTCAACGCTGATGTTTTGACGGTCTACGATGTAAATTCCATAACTCAATGGATCGGCGATGTGCTGGGCCATGAAACAACCGAAACCTAAAAATATGGAACCACAAAATTACAAAACTGCATCTGATTTTCTGCGTAGGAAGTGTAAGTTCACACAAACGATACAGTATAATATTATAATGAAGGCGCAAGTAAATACCACCGATTACCTACCATGTATTACATTTTTAGGTTACAGATATATTATTTAACTTAAATATATAGTATAAAAATTAATTTTTATCAAAAATATTAGAATCGGTAAAATTCACAATAATTTAATGTCGTATAATTAATAATAATTATAATAATTTAGTATAATTACCCGATAAGTTTGTAGTTATTGACGGGATTCCCATGACTGTGCATTCGGCGGGGGTGTATCCCCATGGTTCGTAGTAACTTGGAAATACTCCCAAGTGACAACCCCGCACAAATTCCTCATAGTCCAATCCGAACAGCGGGTTAGTCGAGGACAAGAATTCTGGGTGGAACACAATCTATAAAAAAAAACCCGTGCGAGACGAATATAACGTGAGCTTTTGGTTTATTTTGGTGTACAGTACGTGCAGAATAGAAGTGGGTTATGCGACTAGATATAAATACATGTATATATGTGCACACTTCAGATCACAGTAAAATATTATCTTACTTTAACTTTATCGGACGTGGTGTTGAACAGTTTACATCTTCGTATCGTATTCAATACAGGATCGCACCAATCATTTACTACGTTATGCGTGGTCACAGGCGGCAGGTCGTCTCTCTGTAAAGCGTACAGACACCGTTTCAATCTCACGGTGTCTTCTTTGTTTAACAATTCTTCTTCGACAGGCATTCGACCCCTATAAAACAAAATTGTATACGTCAATACCGTATTTTGCGCATAAATTATTTTGTTAAAAAACCTTAAACATATTTCGTAAATCCTCCGGCCGATTTTTGTTTGTAATTCTAGTATAGTGTCTCGTAAGCTTTTGGTAACGGCATGGCCACGAAGACTTTCTACGTTGAAGTTGTCTGTCCGCGCAGGAAATATTAGGAAGGCTACGACAGTCATATCTGAATTGGCATTCTACAATTGAAAATCATATTTTGTTCCTCATTGTTTAAATAAGATCACTATTCAGTGATATACATATGGAGTATGGACTTACTACATAATATGGAGTATAAACTTACTTTCAAATAATGGTTTAAACGAGATAATGCTTCAATAAATATGTCTGCTCCTTTGTTAGAAAATTCATACCTTCCAGCCGTAAAAAAATACAATGTCTTCTCCAGTTCGAAATTATAATGTCTGTTATTAAGATAAGTCGATGTAATTAGTTCATGAAATAAATACGAATGCAGATAATATATAGATAGATAAATATTTTTATAAAATAAATGATCACTGATCAGTAATGGTTATACGCAAATTTATAAGCCCTAAATAATCTAAATATATTATTCATTAGTAGTTATTAGTAGAGCAATGAATTTATAGAAAAATATATTGTTTTAATTCCACATAAAGTTTAAATTAAATACAATAATTAATTCAATTTTGAAACTTTTATTTTCCAGTTATAGGTTTTTTTTGCCTTTTTAAATCATTTTTTATTTTTAATACTTTCTTCAATATTTTGAATAATGACATTAGTTAAAACTTTTTATACACATTTTATGAATTATTTTTTAACTTTTAGTCTCATAAATATTTTTTACATTTTATACGTATACGATACTTAATAATATCTTTAATTTAAAATATTTTACACTACATGTATAGATTTTTATACTTTTTAGTAGGTATTGATATATTTTTTTAGATTTAAATTAATTTATTAGATTTTTAGTGCAGTTTTTAAGGCTTTTTATTGCATTATAGTCATAGACATAGTTATTAGTTATTACTCACTATTTTAATTATTAATACAAAGTATATAAGTAACAAGTTAATCATTTGACATTTTACTACAAATGTCAAGTATACTGTACTTACTTAAAAATATTTTTAATAAATTGTAAATAGATACTTTAAAGTTGTAACAATGTGTAAATTACATTAAAAAAATGAAAGGAGTGGTAAAAAATTAATAGGAATTTATTGATATTGTTTAGGAAAAAACATATTTATCTGTAAATAAACATCATAAATCATTATGGATCGGTGAAGTGCTCCAAAAGTTTCAAGTAGTCATATTTCATTTAATATTTATAGTTTATATAAACGAATATAATTTATAATTTTATTGAAGTATTTTTTGATTTTTCAAGTATTTTTTTGAAAAGGATATAAACATTAATGTTGTTATTTTAAAATTAAATAAAGCCACAGAGATATATAAAACAACCCTCCCCCATTAAAGACCAGCTGTTTATGTATTAGTATTTATGTAAAATAATTAATTATTATTTTCTTTTGAACATCCAAAGTTGAACATAAACAATAGATATACACTACTATTTATAGTTTTTATTAATGGTAAATATATTATTCATAATAGTTACCCATAAAAATGACCGCGGACAAAATCATGAATCTTCTCTTTGGATAGTGAATGAAGATTTTGAAATTCATGTAAAGCCGAAAATTTGACAACGTTCAATCCGTTGGGAGTAATAATATCAGGCTTTCGAGAGAGCAAATACTCAGATTCTTTTCCAGTGATATCAGATACGGTTGTAAAAACGTGTGCAATATGTGCTGCTGCTCGTTCCATACAATAACGGTGATAAATTTGTCTTTTACCAGCTTCTTCATCGAGATTGAACTAAAAATAAAACATTATAATAAATAGTGTTTATTAATACTTAGTTGACAAAAAAAATTAATTTAACAAAAATTTTTAAAGCTATTTATTTATATTAGTTATTTTAAAAATTATGTTTTAAAAATTTAAATTTACTAATACATATAATATATAGGTATAAATTGTATTATTTTTGTAATTTTAACGAGTAAATGGCATATCATATTAAACTAAATAAAGAATATTAACTTTGAGTTTTACTTAAAAGAGATTTGGATGAAAAAAAAAATAAGAGCATATTAATTATAAGTACTAAATTGCACTTATAAATGCATAGTATTTTTTCAGAGCAAATTCTAAGCCTTAAACATAATACAAGCAAATGAAATATCATACTTTGTCTAAATTATTATAGAAATCAGTATTTCCTGCACAGAGATATCGGCCTAATAATGTGGCATGAGTTGTAAACACTGTAGCAATTGGTTCTTTTTTTGTACGTAATGCAATCAATCCTATGCCAGCTTGCCATTCGTGGAAATGAGCAACCACCAGTGGTGTTGAATCAATGTATGCTGCTGCTGCCATTCGAAACTGAAAATACAATTATTTATTCAAATATTTTCAAACCCTAAGTTATATGTACACTTAAAATAGCTTTGAAAATGTCTCCCTTTTTTAGGTTTAGAAAATAAATGCATAGAGGTAAATATGTTTGTATAGATAAAAGACAAATAGGTCACTATAACAGTTCTAAAATTATTTTTTTGAGCTACACTCTCAAATTTGCAATCTTTTTTATCCAATACAGGTATACTATCTCTAACATTTTTGTATAAGATGGTTTACATATATTTCACATTAAAAGCCTATATACTATACTATTTTGATCATATTCATTACCTAACTAATATATTATTATTATATTGTGTAACTATTTCATTTTTGTAAGAAATTTACTTATGTTCATAAAGTAGTCTATCATCAATAAATTGTGTATTAAAAAAATAATTAAATTCATTAACAATAATTAATAATAAATTGTTAAAATATATTCAAACAAAATAAAACATATTTTTTTATTTTTATTTTTAAATAGAAAATTTGCAATTTGTAGCATAATGTGTTTAATAAGCAAGTATGATATGATAGAGAATAGTTAACATGATAAAATGGTATGAGAAGGGAGGCTGTGTAGTGACTGAATACTTAGAAATATAAATTAAATATAATAAGTACCAAATTGTAAATGGATAATTTTTTTTTATACTAGTATTGATCTATTATATATTTGAGGGAACTCTAAGTAATTTTAAAATTTTAAAAACACATAAATCTACATTTATAGATAAATACTAATAACTAGAGGCTTCTATATACTCAATATACAAATTAGTTTAATATATACTTACTTCTGAAAGAAATTCACTTATTAAATATCCCAAAATTACTGCATCATTAGCTTCTATATCTAAATGCGGAATTCCTATGTTACATGCATCCCATAAAGTTTGCTTGTATTCATCTAATTTCCAAGCAGCTGAACCAATATCAAACAATATAACTTGTGGACTACCATCGACTAACCATCGACCTGTCAACAACTGTTTTTATTTGTTTTATTAAGATAACAATATTTAATTCAGCTTTTCAAAAGAAACTAAGTAATTGTAATCAATTCCTACACTCACTAGCTAATTGAACTAATTTAATAAAATTGAATAATTTTAATCTGCAAGAAAATAATTTAATTTTAACTAAAAAATTAAAAATAAATATCCTATATACCAATCGTATTGTAAGGCTACGCATATTTTTCTGCTTTGCTCTTCCTTCCAACTTTATGGGGTCAACCATCTTAATCCTACACAGCTCACCTCTACAGGTATCTGTCATCTGCCTATCCTTTACTCACACCAGCTAATTTTTTATCATTCTATCTATTCATTTCTTCTTCAGTTCAGTCTCCTCTCCCCATTTTTTCAACTTCATTTATTTCGAAAATATTTAACATGCCAATCTCAATTTATTTTTCTTCATTTTGTGTATGGAGCTAGGTACTGTCTATAAGACAACTTACTTAATTTATACATTATAATATTTTTAGAACATAGAAGCTTAATTCGTAAATTGATATTTTTATATTAATAAATAATAATTAAACCATAAATAAAAACTACATTCAAAAGTTCTAAAATAATTGTTATTACATGTTATATTCCTTAAAATAGTTAAAAATCGTAATTAATTCCTAATGGTATTATTTATAACTTTTTATTAAATTATAATTTAGAATACTTAATATATATATATATATATTATATATATTTGTTTACGTCATCCAATGCTTCGCTTCGAGTATACTTGTATAGCAACATCGACATTTACTGAGGAGGTAAAAATTAAAATTTAATGATTAAACCATGCTGAGCGAAGACTGTGTCTGATTCTATTTCTAAAGATATTTTATAATTTATTAAGTTGTCTATTAGTAATACGATAGGTAACTTAAATCAATTTTTAAAAACTCATTGCATATATTTTATTACTAATTATTAAAATTTAAATTTATTAACGTTTAATTAATAGATAAAAATTAGTCTAAATAGTGCATACTGTATAGAAAATAATTATATACACAAGAGAATAAAATTCAATTAATAAATATTAATTATAACAAAATAACTAGAATAACTCATAAAAAATCGTTATTTTTCTATAAATATCAAATTACCTACATTTCAATGCTTTAAAAAAATAATGCAGCTTTAACTTAAAATTTTATTTTTGATTTCAATAATAAAAAACTACGAGGAACCTCTCCCCTTTGTATTAAAATTTTAATTATGTTAACTTAAAAACAAAAATATTATCAGTATAAATTAAAAACTAAGTGGGAAATTCAAAATGTTTATAAATATTAAATAATTCGAGAATATCCAAAATATTTTAAAAATAATGTCTTGATTAGAAAATGCAAACATATATATTTTATGGAAATTTCCAGTATCTTTATTATTACAATTTTGAATTACGACAAAAAAAAAAAAAATCGATTTTGTCAAAAACTGGTGTTGCGTTGATATTACCGTTTTTCATTTATATTCCACATTTGTTGTAAAGAATAAAGAATTTTTTTTACTTTTGACCTCTTAAAATACAAAATAAATTAAATTACAACCAAAAACAGCTCTCAATTCTCAATACTGAAAATTCTGCTTCAAACAGTGTCATTACACACATGTTAAATCAATACATTATTCACTCAGCTCAAAATCTATAAAGAATGATATCGATGGAATAAAAATATCAAATAAAAAGTAAAAATTAAAATCATTTATCACTTCAGGTAAATTTTACCTTAAATCCTTGATCTCTCATTTTTGTTACTGCTGTGTGATAAGGAGATCCTGCTTCATATTCTAATTCTTCAACAGCTGTCCGAGCATAGTTTTCTTTATAAGGACCTAATAAACAATACTGTTCTCCCATTTCTTCAGTTGAGACAAATGCTTTGGATCTAATAACTGTATAAATACCACCGACTGGAACAGCAATAAACATGATTATTAAATTAATAATACTAATAATATTAAGTACTTTTTTTTAACGAGAGGACATTAACAATACCTAAATTAATACTGAGACACTGAGTACATTGTATCATAATACAATATAATACGTATGATTTAAAACATTATTGGTTGAAATTATTTTTAATTAATTAAGAGCTTAATGAAAAGAGTTTTATTAAGTCGTATAAAAATTGCCTATTTAATCAAAAGCTCTACAATAATTTTAATTTTATTTATAAAAATCCGCTTTCATAGTTATTACAAGTAAACTATTGTTTATTATCTGTTTAATTCTTAAGTAAGCATATCTCTAATTATATTATACCTGGTGGCTACCGGCTGGTACCCATTTCTTTAAGTGTTTTAAGAAACGTAATATAATATCAAAGGGAAAAATTCAAATATTCAAAATTCAAACAATTAATTGCGTATAAGTAAAATTTTTTTTTTAATGTATAGGTAGGTGGTAAACAATGTATATTATGAAATACAAAAATATTATTATTTATTTTTTATAACTACATAGGTAAATTAAAAACAAATAGTGTCGAAATAGTTTAATAAAATGCCAATCTTTATAATTAATAATCAGTTAAGCTAAGTTTAAAATAAATATATCTATGAAATACCTTTATTATATTATGAAACACTGCGTAAAAATCGAATTACCTATCAATACTATAAATAAAAATGTAACTGGTATGAAGCATATTTTAAGTATATTTTAGGAAATTTATTTAAAATAATTGTCAAGTCACTGATAAACGATAAACTATAATATGACAGCTAAAACTTTATTTTAGTTATATTTATTAGATATTGTAATCAATGTGGCCCAAGCTATTAGAAGTTAATTGACATAATTTAATAAATAATGTTATTGATTATGTATAAATTATGTTTTTGTTACTTTATGTTACGATTATTACCCTCTTGTAGTCCTACTAATTATTTTGTAAATAATCATAAAATTAAAAAAATAATATGATTAATAGTAAAACGATATAAATATTTGAATACAATAGGTAATACAAATAATACATTATTTTAATTAATATTATTATTATTATATATTATAAGTTTTAAATTATTACAAGTAAATGAAATAGGTTAGGTTATTATAAATTATTTAGGTATATATAATTATTTAAAAAATATATACATAGTTGTAATATGTTACTGATATATTTTACAAACCTTTATTGCAGACTTCCCAAGCTGTTTCAAAAACCCATCGGTTTTCGTTAGCAGCTGTTTGGCCGCGATCCATAAATGCAGTAAAATCATAATTACTGTCCACGCGATAAAAACGTTTACTTGCTTGGTCTTTAGTCATGGATCCTGGGAAAAAATTATGTTGAACGCAAGAAATAAATTTAAATGTTTGTAATGATGAAAATGATTTTCAATATCGTTTATTATGACTATTATGAGTAAGTACTATCAGTAAAACCTAGTTCGAGGTCAAGCGTTTGGCAACATACTGATTTTGGCAAACAACCATACATAAACATTTATGTTGCCAGTAAACCAGGACTTCCAAAAATTAAAAATTTCCAATTTTAAGTAAAAAAAAAAACCAAATTAAAATTATCCAAACTAATGAAATAATATAATGTGATAATAAGTAAGGTTAGAAATTTAAAGCATTTGCATTTTTTTATAATACTCCAGGACAAGGATTATTAAAAACAAAATCACAAAGTTCAAATACACAATTTTATTGTTTTGCATTTTCTTATGATACTTATGATATTTTAGAATATTCTAAAATCAATAGTTATATCCATATTTAAAATGTTTGGAACATTTATGTATACATTTCGTGTTTTTGTACCTAGTGAATTGTTAGGTATCATTTTATCAGTAAATATTTCCGACAAGTAAAATAATATAACATAAAGCAAATTATATATATATAAATATGTTATTGAGTATTTATATTAATTTATATAATAAACAGGTGCCTAACATTTAAAAAGACCATTTTTAATTTAATGCTTTACATAGATATTAAACAATAAACTGTATTTAGATCTTCTAAGGATTATTTATTTGAACATATAAAAACGTGTAAAATATTTTTCGATATTATAAATTCTTTTCAGCTTAACTTTTACATTCTCAAGTAATTTTTTGGTAACTTTTTCATGGTTAAAATTCATTTTTTTTTTGTAGCATTATTTGTAATACCTTTTTAATGCAATTACAGTAGGTTTTTAGTGCATCATTTGCCTAGCCTTAACGCCCTTAACACTAAGTATAACATGCAATTTAATATCATTATTTTTTTCTTAAAAACAACAAACATGAAAATATGTATTTAATATAATATCTTACACAAGTAAATAATATATTATTTGTAAAATTTTAAAACAAAATAAAATGTGTTTGGAGAGTAATAATAAATATCTATTGAATTTTACAAGTAAATAAAAATGATTTAATTTAATGCATACCCAATTGATTTAATATTTGATAAGAAGTTATTGTTACAAAATTAACAACCTATACATTTAATCTCAATATTCAGATACACGATTGATAACTATTAAATAATACCATGTAATATTATTATAAATAACAAAATGTATAATAATTAAGAATATTCATTGGTATATAAATATACTCATATCAATCCACAGGTTAAAAATCAGGTTAAAAAAGTCTAAAGTCCGGGGACAAGAAATTTCGAATACTATTAAAATTAATTTTTTTTAATTACACAGCGAGTATGTATAATTTAAATTTCATAATTAAATGACATAGTGAACCATAAAACATTTAAAATTATTTAAATTTTATTAAAACAACTAATAAAAAATTAATGTAAACCAATAAATTGAACTATAATAAATAGAATATATATTTGAAAGCCTTTTAACAATTGTATTAAAATTATATATCTACCTACCTAAAATCTGAATACATAATATTATTCGACATGATGATATAGAATAATGCATCATAAGTAATCTCACTCAGAAATTAAAAAACGTTAAAACCCGATATACAAAAACGGAAAATTGTATTGCTTCCAAATTAAAAATAGAAAAATGTATTCTATATTTTAAGTTGAGAACATGAAATTTATTGCTAAACTCAAGTTCGAAATGTCATACGTTTAAAACACAGGTAAAACTTGCCGACATGGCGACCTATTTTAAAATAATGTCAAGCATAGGTATTATTTTTCTCCTTATATGATCTACAAGCCACGAACGACTAGACATCATGTGTTCAAGAAAATTAATCTCGTGTTGTTAGATTTAATATAAGAGCAAATTGACCAATTATTAAACTTAAAGGTAATAATAAAATTTAGCCTATTTATTAAACCTCGCGGTCTCGTATTTTTGTTTTAAAGTGAGTCTAAGTTTAAATACAATGTAAAATAGTACAATTTTAAAATTCTCATATAGGTACCTAAATTTAAAATTAAAATATAAATAAGTCTCCGTGGTGCACTAGATAATGTTTTTACTTTTAAGTTTGATAATAAATCAATGCAATCTAATATTAAAGTTAACAAGTAACTCAAGATTAAATAAATGTGTTATGTTGCACATGGGTCAGAAAATACTAATTTTAAATTTTCATGATGAAACGATGAAACATGACGTCAAAAGGCAATTGTCGTGAACAGCGCAATAAAAATAAACAAGCCAGGTAAAAAAACTAATTTCCTAACTGTTTTATAATTCAACGGGCAACAAACATTGTTTTATTAATTGTTGTATTAAGTGAAAAATTATTCAATGCAATCAAATAATTGAAAAATAATATTTCAACTATAGTAAATTTTAACATTTTTATCAAACAATCATTAAATAAATATCATAAAAAGTGCATACTGCATGATGCATTATTTAATTTTACTATTTAATCAATTCATAATAGATCAATAACAAGTATCTATTTTTTCAATAAAAATGATTTTAATTTTTATTATTTTATTTATTTGATTATATTACGACAATATCTTTAATGTTTGAATAAAATCACATTGCAAATAACATAAATTGTACGATTTGAAAAAATTCTATAAAATTAATTAATATTAAAAAAAAAAAACTTATTTGAAACAATACATAATATTATACAAAAGTGACCATAATAGTTTATTGTACATAATAAGGATATACAATAATTCCTAGAATGTATAAAAAATAATATGCTATAGAAACATAAAAACATTTTTTAAATTCTATACATAAAATATTTATAATATAACTCACATTAAATCAATCTCAATAGTAATAAGTTTACAATTATAAAATGATGAAGAACCATTTAATTCACTGTAGTGGTTATAAGATAAAAATGAATAATTGTTTTAAGTCATCAAAATTGAATTAAAACTAGACCAATTACATAATTACATGAATATTAACATATTTAATTTTTTTTTTTTTTACACAAGGTAATCTATTTATGTAGAAGTGCGATACTCATATTTTTAACAACTATAACTTTTTTTAAATTAATATTATTTTTTGGATTTATTTTTACAATTTTTAATTGTAAGTTTTAACTTTTTTGAATGATACCATTGATTATTAATTTTATGTTCAGATTTTTCAGATTATTTCAATATCTACGCAAAATTATAAGTACATCGTATTGAACAAGATAATAATGAGTTAAAAGTGCTAAATGTTTATGTGAGTTTATTAAGTAGTATAGTACACAGAAAATAGTTTGCTTACGAAAATCAAATTAAAAATGTTGTAAAAAAGTTTGTAAAAATAATTCATATTTTTATACAAATTTTTATTTGTATAAAATATAATTGTTTTGACATGACATAAAATTATGAAATAATTAAGTAATATTTTCAAAAAAGCTACAACTTTTTGAAATAATGAGCGTAAATACATTAATAAATAATAATTATAGATCACTATAACAATAAATGTGTCTTCAACAATTTATCATAGACACGAGAAAATTTTTTCAATTTCTATAAAAAAAAAAAAAATAAAAAATAATATTTCTATAATATGATGTAATCATTTTTTCAAAAATTGTCATGTTGAAAAACAATTGTTTAATATTATATTAAAATATAAATTAACTCATTACATAAGCTTCTTAGTAGGTACATACTTTACTTAAGGGAAAATTCACTTTAAGTTATTCACGTTCAGTTTTAATAATAAGATTAATTGACTCATTATATGGTAATATTTATTATTTACCATCAATTATTTCAATTTTTAATAAAGTTTTAAAATATTGTAAGAATTTATTTACAAACAAATATATTATTTTTAACTTTACATTTAATAATAGGTCAATTCATATTCATATTAAATCAAATCAAGTTAAACGTAAACTGCTGAACATAAATATTTTCTGTGTTACGCACTTGTAAGACAAATACAACAAATATGGGCGTTTCTTTTAAGTTCAAAATTGTAGTAAAAATAAATCGAATTAAATTCTAAACTAATGTATTAGAAAAATCGCGCTAATCCTTCTGACGTTATGACCAATAATTAAATCAGCAAAAAATAATTGTATAAGTACCTATAGATATCTACCGTTAATTCTAATTGTACTTAAATATGCACTAACCGCACTGTGGATCTTGACAATGATTTTATTGATCAAAAATTCAAATTTATGTTTCAACAACTATATACATTAATTTGTAATATCCTCAGCTATGTATTTTATTGTTGATAATAAAAGTATATTGTATAGGTACTTACTAATGTGTTTTCATCAAAAAATAATTAAAAATGTATTAGATACAACGATTTTCAAGATATTTTTTTACGTTCGTGTTAAAGAAAAATACGACAAGACGAAACTGTGGTAATCTACAACTGCACAAGGAAACACGAATGCTGTATACTGATTAGTAATCAATAATTACGAACATAAAATAAGTAAAATGCGATCTACAGCTGAGAACCAGAAACAAACCAGGCCTATACAATATGCTGATAAAATGTAATAACCAATTGACCACTAAAAACGTGAACTATTATTATTATAGACGCTATTAACGTTTAACAGCGTAAATATTACATTTGTAAGTACTATATATGTATATTTATGAAAGAAAATTTTAAATAAAGATATTGTTTTGAACTTTGTATAGTTAAACACGTACACGTCACACAGATATACTTAAATGGATCTATATAATGTTCTATATTGCCATTTAGTAGATTTGTATTAAATACAATTTTCAGTATAAATTGCTATATGATACCTACTTGAATTATTTATTTTACAAATTTATAATTAAAATATACGAGTATATGTTTTATACAAACATTTTTCAGTTTTCATCTCAAAAATAACCAGGAAAGAAGATCGTTTAAAAC